TTTATCGCTAATCACATAATCAACCATGGAGAAGACGAATCTGCAATCGGTTTTGACCGAACAAGCTTTTAAAATTTTTCGATCCGGTGATATGCAGCCTGCTGTACTCTGGCGAATAAATTAAAAAGTTTTTGGTATTTTTTTTGTTCTATCTTTTCTGTTTCTTTTTGTTATAAGTATTGTGCTATTGATTTTATGTGTTTTTTCTTCTTTGGTATATAGTAAATTAATTAATGCTCTCTTTCATATTTAATCCTTTGACTAATTCTTATTGGATCTGTCAGTTTTATCTATTATAACTTATAATAACTAGAGTCATCTATTATTCACGTTCATAATTCCTTATAATGTTCATCCAATGATATATGCTTTTTAACCAATAGCTTTCCTTTTCCTGTTCTGTTATATAGCTATAATACACATTCGCTAGGCAGGGGTGCGATCGATCTGTAAAAGTACTGACAGACGTTTCTCAGAATTTTTTAAGCTTTCTGCAACTTTGGCATGATTTCTCCTGGAAATTGCGAAATTTTTCGAATCAGCTAAATATATTTTCGACATACATGACGTTCAAACTCTGAAAGTCTCTTTAAACTGGTCCTGGTAATAGACATTTAGAATCCGCGAAAACCCTAATTAAATCACACAGGATTTTCTAGTTTTATAAACTGCTGAGTCCAAAGCGTTTTTGGGAGCTTCTGAGTTCAACTTGTAGCAGTACTAAAAATGCTTGAGATGATTTTGAAAATTCGAAATGTTCAAGAAAGAGATGCGCAAGCTGCATGCAAAAACCGTTGTCCAAATTACTATGTTTTCTTATGAAGCAAAGTAAAGTTTTGGCTTATCCAAAAACTGTCGTGTGTAAATTGATACAGTCCCTTTGAAATAAGCCATTTTGTTCCATTTAAGAAATTTTTGTGCGTCTTTATATTTTGTTTACGAAGAAAACAATATCTTCAAGAAAAAATCATCTAACTCTATGGTTAACAACGACACCTTTCCTTTGATCATCAAAACCATTTTTGTTGTAGATTTTTGCTATGAGTTATAAAAAGAAGCACAAACGAGAAAATAGTAAGACATTGACGTTTTGCATATTATTCAGAATGTTACATGAAGGTTTTCTATTTTAGACTACTCCAGTGACGATTATAATTACGAACATCGACGAAGAAAAAGATCAGACACACCTGAAAAACATGTGGAAGAAGAGAAAGAAATCGATCCATATTTCGACTGGTTTTCAAGACGAGATTATTTAACAGTTACTTATCTTATTGACAATGCTATGTTCAGGTGAGGAATTTAAACTATTTCTTCGAATAATTCCTATTTTTACCAGTTACTTGCCATTTTAGTTCACCATCTGAGATTGATGACTTTTGGAAATTTGTTGAAAAGTATCAAGGCATCCAAATTCGCAGACTTCAACAACAATCAAAACAAACGACGAATATATCCACTCAAGGTAATCATTTAGACTCCTTTCCTAATAAATTCCATACATCTCTATCTTTCGTTTAGATGATCTACCAAGATCAAGTAGATTAAGTTTACCGCAGATCTACGATAAACGATATCGATTGAACATGAATGTTATCATGAATAAATCAGCAGCGAATGACACAAGGTATGATGCAACAGGTAGGGATAAAGTAAAAAGATATACTTACTCAATGGAGAATATGCTTATTGTTCAATGTTTGCATCTTCATT